TTTAAAATCTAAATCTTAATTGTTCAGACCTTAATCGTTAAGTTGTTTATTTTTTTACTTCACAACCACTTAATGGGTCTAAATAGGTCTGTATCATTAAGATCTATAACAGAGACTTAATTTCATTAAGATGCTATCATCCATATTCATTATTAATTACCGTCACCGCCTACCATTATCAACTAGCACCATGCCACCTACCACCACCATCATCCCCAATCATAGCAGCCACCATTATCGACTACCACCACCCACCATCCCTACCACTCCCACCACTATCATTCTCAACGACAGCCAATACTCATCCACCTCAACTACCACAACTAACCACCCCATCACCATTAACAACCATAGCTGGCACTGCTCACCATTATAAACTACCACCACCATCTTCCTCAATCACAACTACCACCACCACCACCCGCCATTATTAACTATCACCACCCACCACCATCATTCTCAATTATAATAATTACTACTACCAATCACCACTAGCTACTATCCAAAAACTACTACCATCAACTAGATCTACCACCAACCACTGCTTTTAGTCGGCATTCACAAGCACTACCGTTAGCCATCACCGCCAGCAACTATCATATTTTAAAAAGCTATATATTTTAGTGATGGAGTATTAGATTAATTAGTATTTTATTTGAATTTTATGTTTATTAATTTTCAATTAAACGTAAATTTTATACATTCAGATGTTAAAAAATCAAATAATCTTAATCATTTAGTATTGAGATCTTAACATTCATATGTGTATTTAGATTCAAATATCTTAATCTTAATACACATCTTCATATTCAGACGTGTATTCAGATTCATACGTCTTAATCTAAAAAAAAAAAAAGAAAAAAAGAAAAAAAAAGGGCCTTAATGTACCTATGTTCATTGAACCCTCCAAAACCATTCAGCCAAAAACACAAACGCATGGCAATAAACAAGTAACACTTTAACACGTTTCATGAAAAAAATATTTAAAAAAGAAAAACAAGTTTCTTATCTTCACCGTAGCCATGTATCCCTATATCTTCATCCACAATTTTCTAAAAATCCATAAGCTCACTCCAACGGAAAACCAGCAAGGACATGAATATTCATCCACCAATGCTCTCTTGAGATCCCAACCCCAGCTTTTAAACCAAACCCCACTTGTAGTGACTAAATCGAGAAGTTTCTTTCCGAGAGCACAAAGAGAAACCTGAAGGCTTCAGAAATAGCCCATCTCTGGAAACTACGTTTCTTTCTAAAGCTAATTTTTTTAGTCCCGATAAAAAAAAAATCTTTCTTCTCACCATAAATATCATATCTCTGTTTTCTCCTCAATTTTTCCGTTGCCTTCTGACACAATTCTCGTCGAACTTTCCCTTATTTGAAATCTCTGTTACCTTATGTCTCAAACAATATCTTCAAAATCAGCGTCCTTTTTCGACATTGAGATACTGCCGGAAACAGTGAACTTATCGCTGTTGATTGCGGACTACCCAATAAGATTCCGTCGGAGATTGTTAAAGCTTCAGAATTTGTATATCCTTTCCTGCAACTGAATTCTCTTTCTGGGTCTATTAAGCGAGAGCTGGGTAATTCAAAAAGCTCTATGTTTTTGGCTTTATCGAAAAACATGTTCTCCGATGAACTATCGATTGACAATATTTGCAGAGCTTAAGAATATCACTATTTTGAAGAAGGGTTGTGGAATTTCCTTTTTGATGGGTTTCGTGAGTAATAACGTATATGTCTAGTATGTTTTAAGTTGCACTGATTGTATCTTTAATTTCTGTAATGTGTGTGCAAAATAATGGTGAAGAAGATGAACACTATGAAAAAGAAAGTAGAAGAAAGCCATGTTGAAAAAAGTAAATCAATTCACGCGCTGAAGTTTGGGTGAGATTCACATATCATAGCATGTCGTGTTCAATAGCCACACATTGCACATAGTTTAGGTGTCCAATAGGTCACATTCTTAGTTAACATGTCTAAGTGAAATATTTTGACAATTTTAAGAGATTGTGGGCAAATAAGTAATTGCATATATCTAATCAAATAATATTCAATTATCTTGATGTCGACAAACAGATTAAATCCATATAAATTTAAACTTTATCCTTTCATATATTATTATTTATTCAATGATTTAAAATTTGATGGTTTTTGAGTTTTTAAAGTGAATTTAATTTAATATATAATAATAATTAATTTTGTAATCAAATATTTATAGATACTTTTTTTAATACATATAAAGAGATGGTAAATTCTACCGAATCCCGTGAACTAATAGGTTACGCTCTGTATCCGCCACAGACTTTAGAATGACAGGTTCAGGCTTGCGCCTTGCTTCATACTTCTAACTTAAATTGTCTTGGATCTTTATTTGATAAAAATTACTACATATTAGTTAAGTTTTTACTTGACATTATTTGTTTGGAAACCTGTTTTTTCTTTAAAATTTACATGTTAATGTAATTTGTATAGCTTAATTAAGATTTTACTAAATAGTTGCTTGGAAATACATGCACGGGTCTAGATGTTTCCCATTTCTTCTTAATTAAACTTGCAGGTCAGTATATATCAAAATATTATCTTGTGCATACAAAGTCATCAAAGTATAAAATATGTAGAATACGTGACATTTCTTATACTCATGTACTATCATACTCAATCCAATTTTTTTTCTGAAGAAGATTGGTTGCATTCATCCTTGGGGTGAGGGAGGGGGAGGGGGAGGGGTATTTGGGCATTTAAACTTCACATTATATCCTTTTGTGGCATGTTTCATACCCATTATAAATTTTATGGCAGTTTTATAGAAAATAATTTTTAGTTTTATCAAAAACTCTTTTTTTTTTCCCGTAAAAATTCGTGCTCAATCATACATTATATTACAATTGCAATGGAGGGAGTAGTGTAACTAGAACGTAGGAGCTAGACTCAACTAAAACTGATGAAACTCTAGCAATTTACAAATCCTCAATCTTTCCTACACTTATACAAGGGACTTTTTGGTCATTCATTCCAATCCCAAATTTCTTCCCAAATAGAACCCATGTCGTTTCGATAGTGCAATTGTTCAAGATTTACCCTGATATAAGGGCATCCGATTTAAGTGTTCAAATTTTCAGTCATTTCTCCCTTAACCAGCAAGTTTTTCAGAGAATTGAAACTAAATAGAAGAATTTTGTTGGCGAAGGAGAGTTTCAAGAAGTTAGAGACGGTAACAGAGGCTTTTATCCAATTGCAATCTCATAACCATTTCCACTCCGCAAGCTTTGCTCCTCCGCTTCTTCGAAATCTCAAAACGTTCTTCGAAAAACCCCAATTTCGGTTTCCAAATCTGTTTCGAATACCTTAAAACAATATAACAATTCACCCAACAACAGTTCCACCAAGGTTTGCACTGAAATCAGCATCGCATTTTTCAATTTTATATCTGCTTACAATAAATGTAGAGAAAAAAGAACAGGAAAGAACAATGAAAAATAAGTTCTCGCCAAGAAGAGAGATTGTTGTTTGTGTTTAATCTACTCCTATTTCCCAATTTTATGTCTGTTGTTGTTGGTGGAGACACCGTTGACGATGCGGAGACAGAAAAGAGGGGAAAACAGAATTGACTCCATATTTTACTAAAATAACAGCAAAGCCGCTTGTATGTGTTGAGTATGCTGGTAAGGGCATTTTAGGAAATTTAAAAATGGGTATTAGTAACATACTACTACTTTATGTAGTATTGAACCCTTGCCTCCCAGGTTCGATTTATTGGCACATAGTATATTTCAAATTTCCAAAGTTTTTATCGCATGAAGAACTCTAAAATACAATCTCATTAGGCAAATGGTGAGCCCCAAGCATCCACCAACGAATGGCAAAGCATTTTATCTGGCATAGAAGCAGCGGTGAAGCTAGAAAATATTTCAAGGGTGTTCAAATTTGAACAAAAAAAATAAAAATTGTGGAGAGTGAAGCTTGAACCCGCGCCCATGAGGCCCTCTTGACCACCCTTTGCCACTGAGCTATGACTCTTCATTGTTGCAAGGGTGTTCAATATGTATTAAATGCATGTAAATTCAAAATTTTACCTATATATACAGTGTTAATTTTCCGACATTTTCGAACGAAGGGTGGTCAGTTGACCACCCTTGCTACACTGTAGCTTCGCCCATGCATAGAAGTACCAATTGCCAAATATAAAAAAAGTTCATTTATTGTGCAAGAAAACACATATTTAGTCTATTGGTCAAGATTTTATAAGTTAAATTCTCTTACAGTGGCACAGCCACCTTATAGGAAGATGACACCTCTTCGCGAAAAAAATAAACTGTGTCGATAGGTAAAAAAATAAATTATATGTATATATACTATGTATCGACTCCTCTTAATTTCCTGATATATTTACTTTTATATATTTTGACACCCTTTAACCAAAATTCTGGCTCCGCCACCGAATATAAGGGCTCAAAATTCACTAGCAACAATAGAGTAAGATAACATGTTTGCTATCTACTAGGAGCCTTTGAAAGCACAGATGTTAGAAGGAAATCTAATACAATTATTATTTTGGTGCAACTTTACTACATTAAGATTTATTGAGTAACTTTTATATTCTTCGGAGTATTTAGTTTAAAATCAAATATAATTAGAAATTGATTTATAATATTGTTATAGCATTTTATTGTAAGCATTTGAACTTTTGTTTCCAATAAAAAAATAGAAGTGATCAAACAAATGAATGAAAAAGTAAAAAGAAAATGTAAAAAAGGATACTACACTAACGAGCAACCGAACCACGTGATACCTTATCAGAGTGCTGCCAAATTTTATACTCCACTCACAGCACGCACATTTCACTGGAACAGTCAGCTGATGTCATCATCTCACCTCATACACAGAGGAATTACGCCTATAACTACATTATAGTCCTTTCTGCGGCACCATTTCGAGAGCCTGTAAACAGAAACAAAATCAGAAAAAGCTTTTCGACTTTGGACGCACATTAAAAAATGGTGAAGTTTCTGCTGATGATCAGTGCGGATATGGAAAAACTGACAAATCTGCAGCCAGAAGCGGGCGTCAATGATGCTAATTTCCTCTACTCTTTCAAGGTATAGGTTCTATTTTTCTTGTATGCATGTACTTCGTTGAGGCTACTACTCTGTTTTACAACTTTTGTTTTTTGGTGAGAGATCTCTCTGTTTTCAAATAATATACTCGTATGATCGATCTCCGTTTTACTTTTGTCTAGTTTCTACTTATACGCATGTACTCAGTTTGTGCTTCTCCGTTTTACAATTTTTTTTGGTGAGAAATCTCTGTTTTCAAATGATTTACTCGTATGATCGATCTCCGTTTTACTTTTGTCTAGTTTCTACTTATACGCATTACTTAGTTTGTGCTGCTCCGTTTTACAACTTTTTTTTGGTGAGAAATCTCTGTTTTCAAATGAAATACTTGTAAGATCAATCTCTGTTTTATTTTTGTCTAGTTTCTACTTATACGCATGCACTTCGTTTGTGCTACTCTGTTTTACAACTCTTTTTTGGTGGGAGATCTCTCTATTTTCAAATAATTTACTCGTAAGACGATCTCCGTTTACTTTCGCTTTGCATTAGACGTAATAAAAATCGTGATCCAAATCCTTGTTCTGTGCTTATTGCTTCTGTTAAAATAACGCGTTAAAGTTATTTTTAATTTTTGTCGAGTCTTAGAAGTGTGATATTAGAAGAGCTCTATTTGTTCTGTTTGATACATTTGGCATATCTTAGAATCATATTTATGAACCATATGTAAGATTTTACGACTAATTATACTTAATTTATTTCGTAATTATTTGAGAATGTTTTGACGTTATTACTTTTTTTTTCTTTTGTGCAGCTTAATTGTGGCAATTTTTAAAATTAATGTTTAGTTTCTATCGAGTCTTAGAAGCGTGATAATAGAAGTGCTCGATTTGTTCTGTTTGATACATTTGGCATATCTTAGAATCATATTTATGAACTATATGTAAGATGTTAGTACTACTTGTAATAAATTTATTTCTTAATTATTTGAGAATGTTATGAAATTTATTACTTTTTCTCTTTACCGCAGCTTAAGTGAGGGAATTTTAAAATTAATGTTTAGTTTCTGTCGAGTCTTAGAAGCGTGATATGATAACAGAAGTGCTCTATTTGTTCTGTTTGATACATTTGGCATATCTTTGAATCATATTTATGAACCATATGTAAGATTTTACGACTAATTATATTTAATTTGTTTCTTAACTATTTGAGAAAGTTATGAAGTTATTACTTTTTCTCTTTTGTGCAGCTCAAGTGTGGGAATTGTGGGGAAGTCACCCTCAAAGAAACTTGTGTGAGTTTGGGTTTCAGCATACCGGCTAGGTGTGATGTCCTGTTTCCCCTACATATATGATGTAGGTTGACTGCCTTTTGCTTTTTCCCCTGCACCCTCTGCACTTGGTATTTACGATCGACTAATAAATAAATGACACATATTACTTTATTTAATTACAACTTAATAGTACTTAACCATAGTTAACTACCATGTATTTGCTCATAATCTTAATTAATAATATGAAAATACTTAATAATCTAGCTATTCCTCGTTATCTTCTAGATAGTACTGTCAACCTATCCCAAAGGCCACCATTGGCCATTACGAACTTTGAAAAAGTTCTCCTGCTACATTTTAATCTTAACTGAACCAAAGTATAGGCTCTACTGCATCTCTACTCATTTATACCGTAGAAGCAAAATTTCTTTTCTTACATCCACCATATATGAATCTAAATTTAATCCTCTCAATATGCACATGTACTTATTAGAATACAAAATTTAGACGTGGAAGAAATATTCTGCAGCCTTCAAATAACAGAAGGATGAAGCTAAACAAATATATTACATGCTCCAATCCGTTGCTCTTAGTTCGTACTCCCCAACCACGTTGTAGCTTCAAAATTACTCTTCTGATTTAAAATGGAGAAATGAAAGAAGGAAAACACAAGATTGCAGCAAAGTAAAAGGTGTTGGGTTTTTTAAGCTTAAATGTAGCTTAAAATTATTGGGTTTTAAAGCTTAAATGTAGCTTAAAAGAGGGTGAATGGGAAATGAAGGGAAATTGAAAATATTTGAGTTTTCCTCCTTGACAAAGGAATATTGTCCCATATTGGAAGAGGAAAAGATTTTGATGGGTATATATACAATTGTACTTCTTCTAGCTCTTAAAGAGTTAAGAAGAAGGCAAGTCTCGTGCCGTCGTCATCGTCGCTCGGCTCGGCTAGGATTCGGCTTTGTTAATAGTAAATATTAACAGAATTGTTATTAAATATCCAGTTTTTTGTAAACGGAATATTAATATTAAATCCAAACGTAATAGTATATGCCCTTCACTTTTTGTAAAAGACATTTTACAAAACAGTTTGCACCTCTTCAGATTTGAAGAACAGTTTGCTTTGAAGAACAATTTGCACCTCTTCAGATTTGAAGAAACCGATCTTTGTGTTCGCTGAAACACTGGTGTTTGAAGTATCGCTACACCAGTGTGTAATTCGTTCTATCTTGGGAAGAAATAATCCACAACCTTGGGTACTAGGAGGGGATTAAATTCCTTAAGGAAACACTGTGAATTCAGTGGGTTCGGATTAAATTCTGTTTCGTTTACATTTCTGTTTATATGTTATTTTATCTTCTCCGGAATTATTTTACAAATACAGTTCTTTAACAAAAGGTGCTAAGGATGTGACGGCAACCCTAATATTTCTGCTTTTAGTTACTTTGAGTTTATGACTCTATTATCTGTTCTGAATTTTTTTTTATTTATTTAAAATAAGACTCCTAATATATCTTAGTTTGTTTTTTTATGATTAACTTAACTAAGCCGGGTGTAAATAACCGGTGCGTGCAAGTTTTTACCTTAGGTTGACAGAGTTTTCCTTTTGCATATAAAATTCATAGGAAAGCATTGATCTTTTAAACTTGCATTCACTTTGAGGTATAGCCCTAGAGGGTTTAAATTTACTAATCTTTTTTTTTCAGTGTAAACTTTGTGCAAAGAGTGGTACCGTCACCATGGTCCGTGACTCGGGTCGTCCTTTGAGTTTGGCTGATAGTAAAGCTAGAGAATTCGCCCCCTTGATGTTATTTGATTGTAGGGGGTATGAGCCTCTAGATTTCGTTTATGGTAGAGGGTGGAAAGCCGAGTCAGTAAGTTTTCTCTACCTTTTCTTGGGTAAATTGGTAACAACATAAATGATACTGATATATTTTTCCTTTATTTGACTAAAGGATCTAAAATTTGTATGTTTGTTTGTCTTATTTGCAGCTAAAGGGAAGAGAAATTGGTAACATTGACTTGTCTAATCATCTCTTCGAGCAACATGATGAAGAGGGGAACAATGTTAGAATTGGACATCCCCGTGCAAAGTTTGAAGTGAAGTGAAGTGAAGTATTTTACAAAGTAATGTTGTGTTGTCAATAGCTTTATAGTAATAGTTTTTTTGATCCAATAAAAGTAAAGACTTGTGTTTTTGTGTGATCTTTTTACTCCACGTGTAAAGAAGCTAGCAAAATTCAAAATAGTTGTAAGGCAAAGTATTTTGTGAAAAGAACCAATAGGTCTGTCAAGCGTTTGTCAATATATATGCGCAGTGTGAAACAATTTTATGTTATTGCAGATAGCCTTGGCCCTTTAAAAACAATAGCTGAATTTATCTACTTCAAATTTTGCCTCTTCAACTACTTCTTGTATTAGGAATGTTGATCGTGTGCAAGCTGGAACATCCCTAATTTGTACTCTAATGAGCTTACTCAAAGTGTAGATGATGAAGATGATAAAGTGTGAAGGACATGGCAATGCCGTGGGGATCCACGTGTAGTGCAGCAGGAGATAGATAATTCTCCAACATTGTCAAGACCATCAAAGATCATAAATTTGACTACAATTATTGTTACGAATCAAAATTCACCAATTTGTAAAGGATCGTGCTTTGGTCTCTTCAGCCGCTAAGACTAATTCTCCTGAGTATCTATGAAGGATTTAGGGTTGAGGTTAATCAACTGAGGGACAAAAATAATTTTACTATTCCTAATACAAGTATTAATTCACCTACAGTTATTAATATAATCGAACACGAATTTTTTTAATAAAATCTAAGTTATAAATTATCTTATTTATAAAGGTATGGATTGTTATTTTATTTCCTAGAAAATATCCAAATATTGAAGGGAAGAAAATGATGAACAAATATTTTAAAAAATATAAGTCATTTGTAAATAATAAAGAGAAATAATAGTCTACTAAATAAGACAGGATTTCTGTTATAAAATATGTCGGAGCGAACTGTGCCTTTGAAGTTATGAACCTGTAAGTGTAATGTGCACCTTTGGTTGGTAATTAGTAAATGTAGAGTTCAAACTTGATGTATTTTGCTCAAATTTCTGTTTTACTCAATGTGGTAATCCTAGTTAGGTAGGGAATGATTATTGGCGCTTCTTTTGGAGAAGTATCTTTTGAATGCTGTATATTAGCAGCACGATGAACTAGGACATAACTAAGATGGTACCATGTACTCCCCAGATCACATCAGGGTTTTAGGCTAAAAGCTATAGCTGCTTGTCTTTTTATGAGGTACATATTTTTTTAATATACTCCATTATTAGATGGTACTCGACCAATGGAGTATTTTGAAATGGTTTTACTGATAGAAGAAAATTTGCACGTGGCATTGGAGAACCTCTTACATTCTCTGACGGTGGTCTAAGATGTCATGATACACACGAACAATGCAAGTAACGTTTTCAATGCGAGTAACCACAACAATATCAACAAATTCAATATAATTCATAAGTGGGATATGTGAAGGTTAGTGTGTATGCAAACTTTATTCCTACTTTGAAAGTAAAAAAATTATTTCCGATAGACCACTGGCTCGAAGAAAGATGAAAAGAAAGCACTAATAACAAGCAGTACAACAATAAGATAATTATAATAAGAAAACAAAGCGAAAGAAATAACATGTAGCAATAGTGATACTTAAAGTGCACGTGATGTTTTGAGCCTAATTGTATTGTTTACTTGCATAGGAGTGATTGGAAGAACAACAAACAACATTTCCAATATAATCCCATGCATAGTAGGATCCGGGGAGGTCATGTGTACGCAAACCTTACCTTCAATAGACCCTCAACTAAGAAAAGTATGAGCACCACATTAATAAAAAGAAAAACAAAAAGGGACAACACCGAAAAATCATGTAAAAGCAGCATAAATAACAACAAGATAATAAGATGACCGAAATGAAAGAAACGACAAGTACAAAAACCTAATACCAACAGAATGCGAGAGTACATACTAATCGGTATGAACAATTTAGACTACCTAACCTATTACCCTAATCTTCGATTTCCACGCCTTTCTTATCAAAGCTATCAAGAAAATTTGTGAGATTTAGAGAGTACCAATCACTGCCAGGGGTTTCTAATGAGTCAAAGGAGATATTGGCTTTTAATGAACCTTAAGCTTTTAGCTTCAATGTTGGCAATGAACAACAACCATACATGAGAAGAGTATAAAATTAGGAGTATATACTTGAGCATCAGATTAGGACAACCAAATACTATCAACTGTTTGAGCTGGTAGCTCGAGATCTTCATGGTGGTCAATGTATTGCTACAAGATAAGTAAAACTTTTCAAGATTTTGTAGGCTGAAAAAGAGTTTCACGGTCACACCATTGAGGAACAAACTCTAGAGGGCTTTGCAAGCAGTTATTTTAACAAACTTTAGATCCCAATAACTTTTGATAGTAAAAAAATACTCTTGAATTTAACTAAAACTCCTCCTCCCGTATAAACTCTTTCCTTTTTTTTTTTTGGTATGTTTCGGAAAAAAACCCATTTTATATATTTAGAAATTTTAATTAAGTTTTACAAAGTATATATTTTAATTTTAATTTATAGTCTCTTTGACCAAGTTTTTAGAGCCCCTTATACACAGTTTTCATCTTAAAATCACGTTTTATATTAAATTTGAGGTGTTTGGCCAAAAGAAATAGTAGTAATAAAAAAAAGTAATTTTTTCTCTTGCTGGGATAACCTCTTCTTAATTCAGTTCCATTTAATATGATCCGAATTAAACTAGGGATTGTTATACAAATAGTCGTCCAAATTTGCGGTTTGCTTTTTTTAGTCGGTATAAATAGATGATACATTGATTATACGCAGCTATACATATTGATTAAACTATAACTCCTCCTCCCGAATAAACTCATTCATTCTTTATTTGGCATGTTTGTGTTTATTTTGTTTAGAAACTTTTAAATTTTAATATTTTTAATTCAAATTTTAAAGCCTATTTGGCCAAGATTTTTTCACAGAAAATTTACAAGATCTATAAGATTAATTATATATATTACCACCAAATTAGATAGTACATATATTCGGTGCAATCGAGCCTCATTTATATGTTTTAAGATTAAAGCGTCTCAATCTGGATGCACATCTGAATTTTAAGATATGTATAAAGATTAAAATATCTGAGTCTGAATGCATATCTGAATATCAAGATGTGTATTAAGATCTGAATACTAAATAATTAACAATGTTTGTTTTTCAATATCTGAATGTGTAAATTTTTTTTTTTTTTTAAAAAGTTAATAAATATAAATTCAGATAGAAATAAAATACTAATTAACCTAATGTCCTATCAACATAATATTTCTAAAATGGCGAGTAATAACGACTATGGTTGATGATGGTGAAGGTGGTGGTTAGTGGTGGTAGTTGAGGTGGGTGTGTGGGTAGTTGAGAATGATTTGGTGGTGGTGTTGAGGGCGTTGGGTGGTAGTAGTTGATAAAAATGTGGGTAATAAGTGGTGATAGTCAATAATGGTGGAGGTGGGGATAGTCGATAATGGTGGATGGTAGCAGCAATGGTTTAGGATGGTGGTGGTAGGTAGTGGTAGTTGTAGTTGAGTATCGTAGTGACGGATGGTGCATAGTGCATGATGCATGGTGCATGGTGATAGTTGATAATGATGGACGGTGACGACGATTAGCAGTGAATATGAATAATAGCAACTTAATGATTTTACAAGTTACCCGATGTGGGAGAATAAAAAGCTGAATCATAGAGCAGTCCCTATATTTGGGGGAAATCGAAATTAAGGTGTGGATCACTTCCATCCAAAATTGAAAGTTGTAATATATTTTTTCTCTCTTCTCATAATACTTTAAATCATTAGGAGAGTAGTTTTCATCAAAAATAACTCTTACGCCTGTCCCCTTGGCATAATATTCCTTATTTTTTGAGAGTTTAAAAAAGGATATTTAATCCTTATAGTTGAAAAAAAGATAAGTATATACCTATAAATTTAGTTATGCTGTGGGGAAAAAGACATTTCAAAGTGATTCAAGGAATCGGCTTAAGCATATTCATTGATAATTGTTATATGAAAGTGAAAATTGTGCGTCGAAAGTCTAGCATATCCATAAGTGTAGAAATATAAAGTTAAAATGGATGTGCATTTATATAAGATAAGCAAGAATATATATTTGATAACAAACGTCATAAGGTGCGAATATTACACATAGAAAATAAAATAAAAGAAGATTTAGTTACGTTTTACTTCAATCTCTAAATGTATTATTAGTCCTTGGGTGTGAAATCATGGTATTAAATGTGTGTTTACCCTCAAAATCGGATAAAACTTAAATTTATAAGTGGTTTTAAGGATGCGGATTAATTTGATACAAAGCGATAAATTGAATTGCTATTGAATAAACAAAGATAAAATAAATTCATACCACACGAGTTGGATAGTTTCAGCCTTAATGAAATAGCCACTCTCGAACCGAGTTCACCAAGACCGAGATGAAAAAGAACAAGAGCTGGAGACAAAAAGAAATAATAATATAATTGCTTTTGAATGCATGTTACAATATGTTTCATGAATTATCAGACCCCCTTTATATAGTAGGGGAGTCCTATTTTAGGTACAACTCTATAAAAGGTAAAGATTTTCTGATTCACTAATTGCCGGTACCTTACCGATACGTTCCGAGATCCCCGCCATAATATTCGGCCGGTCACGGATATTTCGGTCTTCTATTGGCTATGTTGGATTATCTGGCAATATTCTTCGAAGTCGTTTGATGCTAGGACCGATTCTGGGACCATGGCCTCGATATTCTTGAAGGCAGTGTCATGCCCCGGGGTTCTGGTTCGGTGGGACTTTGACTCGATTTCTGTCCCTTGTTGCCATGTCTCGAGCCCGACTTATTTTGTCGGATATGCACCATGAGCTCGATTTTATCTGTATACAAATAGCCGCTCATTTTTCGGAGAGTAAATGACGAGAAACGACACGAGCTTCCGATTCTTACTCCCATACACCGTGAGAGAAACGACAAAACAAGCGAAACATCTCGTCAGTCAAGTCAT